AAAAAAAAAAAAAAAAAGAAATTGTACGTGTCTTACACATGTTAGGTAACCACTCTGCTGAGCTGTATCCCCAGCCGTTGTATTGTTAACCTTTTGATAAATCTTCTCCTGTAGTTTCTAGTTAATTCTTGATGTCATCTGGTCATTGCCTTTATTATTTCCATTACATGTACACAGATTCCACAACTTAAAAATGGAATTTTTTTTTTTTTAAATTTCATTTTTTGAGACAAGGTCTTATTGCATAGTTCTGACTGGCTTTGAACTCACTATGTAGCAGTAAGCTGGCCTCAAACTCACCTTGATCCTCCTGCCTCAACCTCCCAAGTGCTGGGATTACAGGTGTGTGTTACCACTCCTGGCAAAAATAGAGATTTCAGTTTTAGAAATTGTGTGTATATTACAAAATACATAGCTGGTTGTATTGCAAAAGACATGTAGTTCATACTTTCATTGATATATGTGAAGTTGTTTTAAAAATGCAAGTATTGAGTATTTTTAACTTGTTTGTCCTCAGGTGTTGGTGGAATGAGCGTTGCATGTGTGTTGAAGAGAAAAGCAGTGCTTTGGCAGGACTCTTTCAGCCCCCACCTGAAACATCACCCTCAAGAACCAGCTAATCCCAACATGCCTGTTGTTTTGACATCTGGAACAGGGTCGCAAACGCAGCCACAGCCAGCTGCAAATCAGGCTCTTGCAGCTGGGACACACTCCAGCCCTGTCCCAGGATCCATAGGAGTTACAGGCCGCTCACAGGACGACGCTATGGTGGACTACTTCTTTCAGAGGCAGCATGGTGAGCAGCTTGGGGGAGGAGGAAGTGGTGGAGGCGGCTATAATAATAGCAAACATCGATGGCCTACTGGGGATAACATTCATGCAGAGCATCAGGTAAAAAATGTTCACTATTTCAGCTTTAAAACTCTTATAATCACTGTCCACTTAGGATGTCTGCTTTCAATGAATGTCTTTAAAAGCTTAAATTGCTGATTTAGTTTAAACAAGAGTCACTTCTTTAAAGAACTATCACTAATATTGTCACTTGGTTATGTACCATTCTAGTGCCGAATAGTAAATAACCAATTCATTGAAAAAAGACAAGATTGTTTTAATGTGCACAGTGCATTTCTGTGAATACTACTTTCAACAAAAATACTTTTCTTCTGTTGATAACATGTTTTAAGGTTGTCGGGTGGTTTATAGGACAAATGCATATTTTTAAAGTCTTTTCTATTGAGCATGTTTATTTTTAAGATGTTACAGTTAAAGGATTGGAAGTCAATAGCAAATTGGCTAGCTGCTTAAGTGACATTTGTTTGCAGTAAAACTGATTCATGTTTTATATCAGGAAATATTGATTGTGGCTTTAATCATCTTGATTCATAGTAGCATATGACTGTAACCCAAGCTGCTTGGGAGGTTGAGGCAGGAGGATTAAAAGTTCAAGTCTGGGCAATTTAGTGTGTGTGGGGATATACCCCCCCCCACCCCACAGACAGAGAGGGAGACACAGGATTTGGGAATGTAGCTTAGTGAAAAAGTGCTTGCTACCCATAGCATATGAGAAGCCCTAGATTCAGTTCCCAGTTCCATAAAAAGAAAAAAAAAAAATCTTTTGGTCAGAAACACAGATTATGTTAAACTTTTTAGTCAGTAAAATATAATTCAAGCTTTGATTTGGGACTAGTATGAGTAAAAATGTTAAAATTAACCAAAATCAAACAAGTTCTTAGAACTTATGTATTTATTTTGATGTATTTACTACAGGTGTTTTTTTTTTTTTTTTTTTTTTTTTTTTGTGGCTGGCTCAGCCCATCCTGGGGTCCAGGCTGGTGCGGCACGTGCAGGGGATCGAACTACAGTCCCTGCATGTTTGCCTAAGCATGGGCTTTAAACCACGGAACTATCTTGCCGGCCCTCTAGAACTTACTTACATTTCCAGTCCTGTACTAGAACTGTCAAGGAAATTTATTGAATACATGAGTCCTTAACCCTTTGCCCTCTAAATAAAGATGGAAAAGGGGCATATAAAGATAAAAGCTTTGAATTTCAGGATAAGATTTAATTTAATTTATTTTATTTTTTAAATGTTTGTTTATTTATTTATTTGTGTGTGTGTGTGTGTGTGTGTGTGTGGCCAGCTCAGCCCACCAGGGGGCGGGGCTGGCTGGCATGTGGTGCTGGGGGATTGAACCGTGGTCCCTGTTCTTTGCTAAGCTTGTTCTAAGTAGGTGCTTTAGATCATTGAGCCATCTCACCAGCCCCATAAGATTTAATTTAATAAGGCAGTAGGATTTTTCAGTGTTTGGAGTTGCTTTTTGTTTTTGAGACAGTCTTGCTGTGCAGTGTAAGCTGACCTTGAACTCACTGTGTAGCTCAGGGTGGTCTGAAACTTGCTATGATCTTCCTGTCTCAGTCTCCTGAGTGCTGGGATCACAGACATGTGACACTAGCCTGTTTTACTAGTCTTGTTCGTTTGTTTGTTCTCTCTGTTTTTTAACAGTAGTACTGGGCTTGAACACAGGGCCTCCCACATGGAAGGCAGGTGTTCTGTCACTGTGTTTAATCCCAGCACTCACAGAGTGGACTTGTGATCTTTCCTGTTTTTCAGCCTCCCAAGCATTGGGATTACAGGCACGCACCAACACACCCAGTTTCAATCAGCTTCTTGGTGCACCCCAGGGCAGGGCCTGCATGGCTGGCTGGTAGAATTGAACCTCCGACCCCTGTGTCTGCCTAAGCAGGCGCCTTAATCCACTGAGCTATCTGGCCAGCCCTCCCCAGTGCTTTTTATTTTTCTTTTGAGGTAGGACCTCTGTATATGATCCCCCTGCCTCTGGAGTAGTTGAGATTATGGACTTGGCTATCAGTTTGGGATCTAACAGAAATTTTTATAATTTAAGATTTTATTTCTGAATAATTTGAAAGTTTCATCTTGTAATACTGAAGATCAAGTCATTGACTTGCTGTGATTGTTTTATTTCCTCATTGCAAAATGTTTTTCTGTAAATGACTGAGATAAAGTGATGATGAAATAGGGAGAAAATTTTAAGGTCAGTTGGCTCAACTGTAAGCTTGTGTTTTGAGTTATAAGGGACAGAGATAGGTAGAAGCTTTGTGCTGGGGATGGGAAATTTAGAGGACAGTTTCACAGAGGTTGGTCACCTTGCTTTTGCAGTCTTTCACAGTAGGCTGTATTAGTACCTACCTAAGAGTGACAGATGGGAATAATTGTAGGTAGCCAGGAAGATTTAGTGGATGAATTCTTTGACTGTATTTATACCATTTTTTTTCTTTTATGTGTTGTCATCTTAATAGTGATATGATGACACCAACCTTTGACACTATTCTTATTCTAAAGTACTGTGAATTAATCTTTGCACTTTGTAATTATTTGGAACTACTATGTTAAGCTGAAGGAGCCCAAGTATTCTCCAACTTGGGGAGCCTTGTTATTCCATAGTGATCTCTACTGTTTCGTTCCGTGGGCTGTTGAACCATGAATCTCCTTTCTGGTATTTCGGTTAGGTGACTCAGCATGTGAGCCAGGAGCATTTAGTTTACATGCGTTTTTAATATTTCATTACATTTTGAGTTTACAGGTCCTTTTTTTAATCTTTTATTCATTTGGTATAGGGTCTCGCTATGCAGCTCAGACTCATAGTCATCCTCCTGTTTCAGCCGCCCTGGCACACTGTGCCTGGGGTTCCCCAGAGCCCGCATGGCATTCAGTACTGGGGATTGAACCAGGTTCTTGCACTTACCAAGCAAGTGCTTAGACCACTGAGCTATCTCCTCAGCCAAGTTTACAAATCTTAATGTTATGAACTTAGTCAAAAGAATCATTAGCAATAGCTGGGCATGTTGCCACAAGCCTGTAATCCTAGCATTCTGGAGGCTGAGGCAGGAGGTTTTCAGAAAGTGAGGCCAGCCTGGACTACATACTGAGTTCAAGGCCAGCTGGAACTATATGATGAGACTGTCTCCAAAAACAAAAGTAGAAATGAAAAGAAAAAAGACTCATTAGGTGTCAAATTCCCTCCCCTCCCCAAATTTTCAGTATTGGATAATGAATTCAGGGCCTTTGCACTGAGCTGTACCTCTAGCTGTTTTTTTAAATTTTGAGATAGGATCTTGCTAAGTTGCGTAGGCTGGGCTGAAATTTGTGATGGTCTTACCTTAGCCTTCTAGAGTGCCTGGATTTCACCCACCTGCAGCCCCTTGTCTGTAAGATTATTTTACTCCAGTTGGGGGTGTGGGCACTGGTGGAGAGCATATTTAGCATATGCGCAGCCTTTGGGTCAACCTTCAGCACTCCCAACCGGTTTTCAGTAAGATGCCCTCCTCTGTTGTATATGGAGCTTTGTGCAGGGGCAGTATTGTAGCCAGTAAGGTTTATCAGAGGCTCCCTGTGATTATTGCTTATAGAAAACTATTCTTATTTATTTATTTATTTATTTAGTGTGAGTGTGGCCAGTTCAGCCCACCAGGGGGCGGGGCTGGCTGGCATGTGGTGCTGGGGATTGAACTGCGGTCCCTGTGCTTTTGCTTAGCTTGTTCTAAGTAGGTGCTTTAGACCACTGAGCCATCTCACCAGCCCGAAAACTTTTCTGTTGTGTATGGAACTTAACTGTATGTTTCCTAGCTGGCAACTTTTGTAAAAGATTTTTCCCCTCATGGAAAAATAAGAATGTTACGGAAGTGAAGTAAGTTAAGAAGTATCTAGATGAATATTGGGTTATTAGGAGTTTTTGTGGCTAAAGAGGAGAATGGGATGAAATGTAATATTCTTAATAAAACAAAAATGTACCAGTCAGGAGGAAGGGTTTTAAATTTGTTATGGGTGTAGTTGAAGTATCTTGTAAATTGTAAAGAGTAAGGTGTTCTTGTTTTCAGCACACCTTTCTGTGGTAGCAGAAGAGACATACTTTTTTCTTTTTGAGACAGGGTCTTGCTGTGCAGTTCAGGCTGGTGATCTTGAGCTCACTTTTTTTTTTTTTTTTCTTTTAGGTCACTATTTATTATGGATTTTATTTTCAAATAAGATTCTTTACATTCCCTGGTACAGTTAGATAAAGTAAGTCAGAAAGAGTAAAATTGTAGAAAGAAACATCAAAGGTACAGGCTGCAGTTATGGTGACTTGGTTTCCGGTGCTTGTTTCTAAGTACTCTAAATACATTTTTATCTCACAGGCAAAGTGAGTTAGGTGAGTTTGTGTTCATGGCCCTTGAGGCCTGCTTTTGAGCTCACTTTGTAGCCCAGGCTGATCTCAAACTTGCAACGAACCTCCTGGCTCAGCCTCTCTGAGTGCTAGAATTACAGGCCTGTACTAGCACCATAGGCTGTCTGACTTTTTATGATTGCTATCTCTGTCCTATAGTGGTATTGGGCACTAGTTTTTTTTGAACTGGGAATTGAACTCAGGTCCTTGCACTTGCCAAGCAAGTGCTTATTCTACTGAGCTATCTCCCTGGCCCCTTACCAGTTTTTTTTTTTTTTTTTTTAAATTGCAGACTACTACTGTCCCTGCTTGCAAGTAAAGTCCGTATTTTGATTTTTCCTAAATTTAAGTTTTCTGAGTGTAATTTTTTTAAAAAATTGTTCTTTTATTAGTACACTTTTGCTCTGCTAGCCTCTTCAAGTGCTGGGATTGCAGGTTTGCACCACCATACCCAGTGAAACATATTTTTTGAACGTGTGTCCATTTTCTCTCAGGCTGCATACAGTTCTCCACCCCCTGTAATGGAGATTGAGCCCAGGTCTTAAATCCATCCATCCAGCCATCCAGCCATCCAGCCATCCATCTATCAGTCTATCCATCTTAGCTCTTTATTTTTTGAGACAGGCTTTCACTTTGTAGTGTAGGCTTTGAACTCCTTGTGTAGCCCAGGCTGGCCTGGGGCTCCCTTAGCTTCACCCTGCTGATTATTGGGATCACAGATGTGTACCACCATACCTGGCTTCTTTATTTATTTATTTAGTAACTTTATTTTTATTTATTTATTTATTTATTTTTAAATTTATTTGTGTGTGTGTGTGTGTGGCCAGCTCAGCCCACCAGGGGGCGGGGCTGGCTGGCATGTGGTGCTGGGGGATTGAACCATGGTCCCTGCACTTTGCTAAGCTTGTTCTAAGTAGGTGCTTTAGACCACTGAGCCATCTCACCAGCCCCTTTATTTTTTATTTTTATTTTGAGGCAGGGTTTCACCAAGTTGCTAAGTTGACCTGGATGTGTTTGAATTTGACTCTTCTATCTCAGTTTTTCAGAGTGGTCAAGTAATGACATTTGCTGAATACTTTCTTTAGGGTAAGCCTGAGTACTAGGATTAAGCTTCTTGGGTGTTGTAGATACACTTGTGGATACTGGTGAAGATATTTTACATGCTAATAGAGGAACAAGCATATGATGAGCAATATGCACCAGGAGAGTAGTGTACGCACAAGCTGTAATAGTTTTGTTTTTTTCTTTTACACACTTTTGTTCTGTCTTCCCTATATTTTACATGGAATTTTTTTTTTTTTTTTCATCTTCTGGATACAGTAAGAAGCATAATGAAATTACAGCTCAAGTTCAGTGTGTAGCTGTGGATACTCTGCTAGGAATATTGTGAGAAGTGGTACAGAGGTTGGCAGGGGGTTGGGTGAATTTAGCATTGCCTGCATGCTAGACAAGTCTTGCCTACCACTGAACTATATATCCCCAGCTTGGGATAGTTTAATAATTGGGAATTTGTTTAAAGAACTTTGTCTGTGGGGTGTAAAGGGCATTGGTGATAAAACTTGAGATTATGGAGTTACTAGTTTTTTTTGTCCAGAGAGTTTGTATTTCTTGGTATGTAGTATTTTTGAGAACTGCTAATTTTTGCTGATGCCTTAATAATGGTTTGAAAACATTTAGCTGACATAGGCTTGTCTATGAATTGCCTTTAATAAGTGCTTTTATAACTATAAAGCACTGTTGGAGACCTTTTGTTTTCATTCTAACCCAAGGCTGCATGCATACTCAGCAGGTGCTCTACTACTCAACTGTATTCTCTGCTCTGAGTTACTCTATGTATTTTGAGTCTCATGAGGAATGCTTTTTCAGTTTTATGGAAATAGAGCATTCTGAAGATTTTCTTCTTTTATGTGTTTGGCACAGAGTCTCACTATGCAGCTCAGACTCATAGTGATTCTCCTGTTTGCAGCTTCCCCAGCGCTGGGATTTCAGGCATGTGCCACTATGCTCTGTGCAACTGGGGGCGGGGCTGGTGCAGCATGTGGCGCTGGGGATCAAACCTCGATCCCTGTGCTTGCCTAAGCAGGCACTTAGTCTGCTGAGCTATCTTGCTGGCGCTGAAGATAACAGCTTTAATAGTGTTATTGGTATTTACCCCTTTAAAATGTAATTTATTTTCAGCATATTTGTTCAATTATGCAATCAACACCATAATTTTAGAACATTTTCAACACTTCAAAAATCTTTTTTACCTCCAGCAGTTACTCTCCAATCCTGGGCAGCCACCAGTCAACTTTTGTCTCTGAATTTGCCTATTTTGGGCATTTCACATTAATAACCATAAAATATAGGGCCCTCTGTGCCTGCCTGCTTTCATTCCTTTTTTGGGGGGCGGGGAGGTGCAGTGTCTCGCCGAATAGTCTCTTCTGGCCTTGAACTGAGTACACCTGTGAGCCTGTTTGCTATCATGTCTGATTTGCCTTCTCCTGCTTCATGTTTTAAAGGCTCATCCAGGGCATGGGGATTATATTAGTTATTTTTCTCAGTTGCTGAGACAAAATATTCAACCCAAAGTTAAAGGAAGAAAGCTTTATTTAGCTTTCAGTTTGTGGAGGTTTCAGTCCTAACCAATTGGTTGCTGCAAGGCAAGGTGGCTTGGCAGATGGGTGACAGTTCATGGCTGCAAAAGATAGCAGAAGCAGCAAGAGGAAAAGGAGGGGAGCTCTTTTCCTCCATTATATTGTATGCAAGGCTATCCACCCTCAGGCGGGTGTAGCACTTATATCCCAATCCCAGCACTAGACAATGAACCAGTCACAAACTCTAGATTCAGCCACCTCCAGAAGTTCCTTCCCCCATTCCAGTGTCTGTATGAGGCTCTGAGGGGCCATCCAGACACAAAACATAACAGATGTAGTGGCATTGGAGTGCTTGCAGTGCTTGCCTGCGAAGCATGCATTAGGCCAGTTATGGTGATCCTTTTAGTGCTTGGAATGACAACAAACAGCCTGCTGCAGCACATATGCAGTAGGCTTGATGCTACTGCATTAAGCTGTGTGTTTAAAGAAAAAAAAATCATCTGTTATAGTGTGTCATTTCTTTCTATTTTTTATTTTTATTTTTTGTCTTTGAGGCAGGGTCTGGCTGTGCAGTTCAGGCTGGCCTTGAGCTCACTTTGTAGCCCAGGCTGGTCCTGAACTTGGATGATCCTTTTGCCTCAGCCTCCTGAGTGCTAGGATTACAGGTGTGTGCTACCACCCCCGTAGTTTTTTATTTTTGAATTAACATTCCATTGTATAGGGCTAGGGAGATAGCTCAGTAGAATAAGTGCTTGCCTGGCAAGTTCAAGGTCATGAGTTCAGTCCCCAGTATCGCCAAAACAAACCAAAAAAAAAAAAGGAAAGAAAGAAAAAAAAACCATTCCATTGTATAGATCTGCAATATTTTATCAGTTGATAGATCTTTGGATTGTCTCTGCTTTTTGGTCATTATGTACACTGCTGTCCACAAGAGCATTTGTGTAGACAAATATTAATCTATCTTGGTTACCTAAAGAATTTAGTTTTTGATGATACTGAGGATTGAATTTAGTATCTTTTCTACCAACGCACATCCCTGGTTCAGGATTTTAGAGTGCATAGATCTTTAATACACAGATACAAAAATAACAAATTTGGGGGCCTGGCCCTAGCTCAGTCCTTTAAGTGGCTGCTTCCACAAAGCTGTCAGCCTCAGGTTGCTGTAGTTCGATCCTCACAACACTCCAGTCAGCCGGCCAAAAGTGCCCTGAAGGCATTCGAGGAGCCAAAAAAAAAAAAAAAAAAAAAAAAAATCCTTATTCCATTTGGGGCTGGGGAGATGGCTCAGTGGAATAAGTGCTTCTCTGGCGAGCACAAGGGCCTGAGTTCAATCCCCAGTTCCACCAAAAAAACAAAAACAAAACAAATTTCACTGATGCCAGTGCTTGATACAAGTAGGGATTGAGCTAAGCATGGTGGTCCACACCTGTAATCCTAGCACTTGGGAGACTGAGGCAGTAGGCTCTGCATGAATTCAAGGCCAACATAGGCTGCTTAGTGAGTTCAAGTCTAGTCTCAGTTATATAGCAAGATTTTGCCTCAAAAGCCACCCCGTCAAAAAAAAAAAAAAAAAAAAAAAAAAGATTTGGATTGGTTTATTATTTACAGTCTTTTACTCTGGTTTTGAAAAAAAATTAAGCCAGTGTGAAGTTTTACTGAAGCCATTGTTTCTGTGAAGAAAATATTTGCAGGTACA